ACTCAATCTGTCACCAGAGAGTTTCACCCTTCCTCCGATTTCTCTCCCCAAACGCATTAAACCACGGCGGCAGCAGCAGCAGCAGCCCCGGTTGCGCTCTGTGTGGGGATGGTTTCCTTTTAAATATCTATATATTTTTTTAATCTAATTGTGTGCCGTGGAATAAATACACCATTGCCTAATTGCGTATTCATGTGGTTAAGACAGATAAGGGGGGGGAGGAATGTGACTCACGGTGAGACACAAAGAGCACATCATGGCATGCAGATGTTTTTGTTAAAAGTAAAACAAACGCAGCGGGTTGGTGGTTGTGTTTTGGAGGTAAAATTAAATAAAGACGTAAATAAATTATGATGCTGTTTGGCCATGAAAAAAAAAACACGTGGAAGCCAGTGAGATCTATCATCCTGAAATAATGGATTAAGTCTATGTACTATAGTCAAACCTTATTATAACTAAATTGGCAGAGGATAATCCTTAGCCTTATTATACACGACTTGGCCCGTATCGCGATGCAGCCGGCTGCATATATTTGTTTTGGACATGACTTGATTTAAACCATTTTTTTGCTGAAAGTACATTTGTTGCATGCAAGTTTTATCCTTGTGTAATGCAGGCCCACAATAACAGCGATAATAAATCAATGTCACTACACACACAGTGTCATTTGGTTAAAAGGTGAAGATGCAGAGGGAGCTCTAGAAGCACTCCCCCCCCCCCCGTATGGAAGGTATTTTGGCCTACTCTTCCACACCGGCCAGACGACTTGGCAGAGGTGGGGGTACCCACACTTCACCCCGCCACACAAGCTGCCGATTGGCTGACTGTGGGTGTAACCACGCACCTCCGATGAACACGGTTACGTACGGTGCGAAAGAAGTTCATTGAAGATGCTCTGGCGGACGTAAGATGCTCTACATGAGCATAGTTGAATGCAATTGCGCAGTTCAATGAATGTATTCTAATTCACCGATTGCAAAACAATGTTTATGATAAAACTGTTCGTGATACAATACCCAAGTCCGTATAATTCAAGTTCATAACAATATGCAGCATGTGATGTGATTAACTAAATATCAATGTAATTGCGAGATAAACTTGAATTAAAATATTTAATATGTGCAATTACAGATATTTAAAAGCACTGAACGATGGTTTAACAAGAAATGTCTCCATGCTCATCGTGCTGTACTACTGTTCTGTGTTCACAAGCTGGCCAGGTGGGATTGTGGTTAGAGAGTTCAACTCACCATCAGTCGATTGCAGGTGCCGACCTGGACAATCACCCCGGTGGAATCGATACAACGAGCACCATTTTGTGAGAAATCAATAGTGGTGATCTTTTTGGACAGACTGGCCCATGCCACAATACTGTGGAATTTCCACCAATGGTTCATAAATGAAGTGCACTGCTCCATGCTTGTTTGAAATTAGTGGAAGTGACCCAAATGTGAGAGAAAATAGCAAGAGAAATACATTTGAACAAAGTACTTGGCATGCCCGTCCCATAAACAACAAGCGGAGCAGCTGAGTGTCATTTGTCCCCTAGAAAGGAGGGAAGAGTTTCCCACGTGACTCAGACTGAGTAAAGGAGCGAGCCAAAAGTCAGCGAGGAGTGGCAGCTCACGGATGGAGCAGATTTACATGGAAGGGAAAAATTATCGTCGTGTCACGCAATAGGCCACATTCTCATAGTGACCAAACAGCCAAATTACATTTTGGAATCTTTTTTTGCCGGAAAAAAAGTATTAACATTTTTTTATTTAGCTGCTCTACCCGAGCTATAAATTATCTGATACGTGCATTGTCTCGGTACTATACGACGTTTGGCATCCTCTGGTCTGGCACTGGTGAGACGAGGCCATGAAGAAGGATGTCTCTGGTGGAGGTTAATCAGTTTTAAGGACAACGCAAATATTAATAAAGCACGTGTTTGCATGTTCACCACAAGTACGTGTCGTTGATGCAGACTTGATTCCTTGCAAAAGGTTTCCATTTGCTGTTTGAACATCTGAACACCTCCTGTTTTATTGCCAGAAAGGGTACAACTTATTTTTATAGCTAAATTACATCTTCCTGCCGATTTACCCAGTTGCCAGAACATTCTCCCTGGACAGAATCTCCCTTCTTGTTCTTATTAACTCTGCAGTCCGGATATGGCACTGCCTCCCTGAAGACATTGTCGACAAAATCACCGATTCCGGTCTTCAGGCCTTCAGCTGCCGCACACGCACACGTGGGACATCTCCCGAACTCCACCGCACGCCTTGCATGCGTGAGTCCTTGAGCTGCAGTGAACCAATGATTATGCCGATTAGTTGTACTGTTTGATGTGGCTGTCGTTCACAATTGCAACCCAGTAAAACAAGAAGACCGAAAAATGTGGCGTGTTCATTGGGGGCTCTTCTCCCGAGGAACAAAAAGTAAATTGACCACCGGATGTATTTGCCAAAATGCGAATAGTTCTGCTACAACCATGCAGTTGAGGTCTAAAGAAGTTTTGTTTTGATTATTTCTGCCAAAGTGTGTTCCTATGAATAAAATCCGGTGTGGGGTGCACTCTTTTGTAGGGGGGAGTTCGGATTTCTACCTCAAGAAGCAATCAACACGTGACTCGATGGGATACAAGAATGCCATCTGAATGTCAATGCAGCAACACGGAAAACCCACAACACTGTAAAGTCCAGCGGTTGAGGGATTATGAGGATACGGCACAGTTGGCAGACAAGAGGGAAACCCGGTGGTAAATGTGCAAAGCATCAACTAGTCACCCCGTGTCCATCAACCCTCCAGGTTCAGGTGGATTCTATTATACCGCAGCATCGTAAGAGATTACGATGGCTTGGGGAGGTCTTCATCAAGTTGCAGATCGATGACGGCTGACGACGACGACGACGACGATGATGATGACGATGATGATGAGATCGCTGTGCTTGATCGGAAGCCACCCGAGGATGTGAATCGAGACTGGTCCCCAAACACAGGAATGTGAGAATGTGGAATTTGCTATCGCGGAAACTGGATTATCAGCAGAAGCAAGCACACCACACCCCAATAATTCCATAGCAGTAGCAGCAATAATCGCAGCAGCAGCAATAGCAGCCATAGCAGCAGTAGCAGCAGCAGTAGCAGCAATAGCAGCAGCAGTAGCAGCAATAATCGCAGCAGCAGTAGCAGCAATAGCAGCAGCAGTAGCATCAATAACCGCAGCAGCAATGGCAGCAATAGCAGCAGCAGCAGTAGCAGCAGTAGCAGCAATAGCAGTAGCATAAATAACCGCAGCAGCAGTAGCAGCAATAGCATCAATAACCGCAGCAGCAGTAGCAGCAGTAGCATCACAAACCGAAGCAGCAGTAGCAGCAGTAGCAGCAATAGCAGCAGCAGCAATATTAGCAGCAGTAGTAGCAGCAATAGCAGAAATAATCGCAGCAGCAGTAGCAGCAGTAGCAGCAATAGCAGCAGTAGCAGCAATAGCAGCAATAATAGCAATAGCAGCAATAATAGCAGCAGCAGTAGCAGCAATAGCAGCAGCAGCAGAAGCGAGCATCCGAGGTGCATGCGAAACGTCAGTGCCGTGCCCGTACAGCTCGTCCACGAGGTGGTGGAGACTGTCATGTCACAGACTTTAGGTACACACCTCAAGTTCTAAGTAGGCTATTACAGCATCTCAGAAAGACGATCACGTGCTCTTGGGAACTCTGCCAATTGTATGTATATTGTGTCTCAAGAGGGCTTTACAAATTGTGGGCAAACTTTTAGTTTTATATAGAGGCAGTCACGGGAGGAAAAATCAAAGGAAGATCTTGAATGCGGACTTGAACAGTGAAAGCACAGATGGTTGGAGGAAGGGACTTCCAGACTTCGCAGCAGCAGAGGAGAGAGAATGCGGAAACTCCTACGGAGCAAACGTTGCTAGAATGTGCTGAGCCGAGGACCTGTGATCAGCAAGAGGATGGTTTACATGCGATTCATCACGCAGAAGGAATGGAGGTCTACTTTGGAGCAATTAAAAGTTCCGAGCTTTTGAAGCAGTGATATACAACAGGTGACTGCATGTGCGAGACCGCATGCCGCCACCGCCATGGGGACTGGAGACAGGGCACGATGGGGTGACGATGGTAGAGCACAATCCAGAGCTCTGCGTGATGAGAACAACAAATATCCTCGGAGGATGATAATTGTGCCACTTGATGGGAAGATCAAATATTTAGCAAGGCTTGAGGCTTGTGTTAATATCAACCTGACTGCAGCACTCTTGTGCCAACCCGCATACATCCTCTCCAGCTTAATAAGAAAGAGAACAGATTTGTTCAGTTGACGTCACACAGAGCGATGGGCTCGGGCGAATGTACGTGCACATTGTGTATTGTGGGTGGGGGGGGGGGGGCTGTGGCACTGCGCTACGAATCCTACGACCCGAGTTGGATTCCTCGCCGTGGCAACTACCAGCGACCCGGGCCTCCAGCAAGGTCAGCTCAGCCTTAAGTGAGTGGTGGGTGCAGTGCGCTGGACGCTTTGTCAAAATTAGCACTGGAGAGACAAAGGCAAGCCAAAGCATGGTAGTGGCCACACAAGCCCACCGTGCACTTGCAGGCCTTAACTGGTGCTTGAGAACAACTTTCCCCAACAGTCGCTAATGCTATAAAAGGGCACCGTGTGCATTGGGTTTGGTGAAATAACCAGTTTCTCGAAGCAGTGAATGTCATCCGTCTGGGTGTCTGGTTTACCTCCGTGCAGTTCGATTACAGTCACAATAAGAGGTAGGAGAACTAACTTGGCTTATTCGAATATAAAAAATGTATTGTTTTACGCTGATGAACTCATATTTTTGCCAATGATAAATTGTTTCTCTTTTAATGGCCACCACCGGTGTTGTATGATGCAGATTGTGTTTTATACTCTGCTCACAATTACAGTTGGATAGCCTGTCACGTGCCCTTCAGTTAGAATTAAATGTATTCACCGTGCCCAAAATACATACAAAGCACAAAACTGCACACTCAATTTCAAAGATTTTAATTGAATAAACGGCACTTATTCAAGCAAGATACTGATATGAACTGCCAGTACGCCACACTTTGCCCATACAGACACGTAACGGTCCAATTGGAGACATTTAAAACGCAGACTGAAGCAATTTAACACGTAGGAAATAAATGTAATTTTGGGGTCTAATTGTTTATAATGTGCCTGTTTTAGAGATGAGAATATTAAGGAATATTGATGTGTCGTCCAGCAACATGTATCAACTCACCCCGACATTAAACGAATAATCATTTCCAAAATGTTGTTTATAATTATAACAACAAACACAAAATCCACCTGCACATTCGCGGTGTACCACACACTGTCATGAATACGCCTCCGTTGCAACCCACGGGTTGTTTACACATTTCCCGTGAATGTGCAAATCACAAACATAAACAAAAATGAGCTCTCATCACTTATCGCCGTTTCCATTCGCAATTCACACTGAACTAGGCACCTGAAACGATGAAACGTATTTTTAAGAGCATATTGCCAAACGGTAGACTTCATAAAACCCACAACTTTAAAAACCTCCGAATTATAACTATGGATTTAGGCCTTTATTCATATACGTTTTACAAAACATAGCCAACTGCCATTCTAGAACAATTCTCTTTGGGTGACCCATGACTGCGATCGTTACGGCGGGGGGAGCTAAGAGGGCGATGCAATGCAAACACAAGCACACCAATTCTGCATCGACACGGACTGCCATTGAGAAGCGAACGCGATCATCACGACAGCGGCGACATCGCCGAGGAAGACGTTCTCAGTGTGAACTGCACGGATTTGCCGTTTCACCGACAGGTAAACAGACGGACAGCCTTGGGAAGGACAAAACCCCACAGCAGTGAAGAGCCTCTGGGTTGGTGTCAAGGTGAGCGAGCGAGCGAGCGAGGAGTTTCCCGTGGATGACTTTGCAGAACCTCGCCAGTCACGACGCTTTGCAGGAAGAGACCTTTTTTGCATGGCGGGTTTTGCTCACTTTGAGAAGGTCTGTTAAAAACAACAACAACATCATACGCAGGGATTGATTTTCCCATCACGCACGCGTTTCTACCCCTATAATTCTCTGCGATATTTAAGTGTTACGTTGTGATTTTTATTCCTTACACTGGCAACAAAAGCAGATGCAACAATACACACATTTACTCACAGCATGTCTACAGCTGCAAAGTTCACATATGGGAGTGAAATGCCAAAGTTGGTATCAGCGATGTCAACTCTTGCAGTTCTTGAGACTCTGCTTGAGAGCCGAGAAAAATCATGACATGGTTCCTCACACAAAACTCCTTGTGATGTTAATCAGCTGTTGGTAAAACGTCGGGGACATGTGCTGTTCAAATATGTAGCAGCGTGGTTGCAATATGAACATGGCTAAGTCCACGGATTGGCCAGGTCTTGGGGTGGCACGAGCAGTGACAAGAGCAGTGACACCCATGATTGGCTTTAGAGTTTCAGGATCATCTGCATGCCCCTGGTTGGGCCTAACAATTCCAATCCTAGCTAGCCTGACCGAACTTACGGACCCCTTTTTCTTTCATGGCGGTGTGAGAAGGCCTTCATCCATCAGTGGACTAACCAAGGGCTATATATATTTAGTTTGTATCTTGAAGTTACACTCTTGCTACTTGTTTAGAAACACAGCACAGCCGATCACTGGTCTAAGTGGTTCACGAACTGCGCAACAAACCCAGAAACCCGGGTTCAATTTCCGTACCCAGCAAAGACAATCAGGGATAAGTGATTTCTGACTCAGTTTTGCCCTTGACCAACCTGCACTCACCAGCGTGGTGAAGTATAGTCAAATAACCTCCATAAATTAAACAGCACGGGGAGGCCTTCATCCAGCAGTCGACTGAGAAAGGCCTGTTACACTATCAAATTATTATATTCTCCCAGGCCAGTGGGAAATAATGAATATACGTGCTCCAGATGACGCAGTGAAATGTGCCCTAAAGCGCAGAACGGAGTGACACCTAGTGTTGGGCCAGGGGTGTCTGACGGGCTGACTCCAGAAGCGCTGCGGCGCTACGCCTGGAGACTGTTCTCTGACGTGACGTGACGTGGTTGCGCTGTTGCTTGAAGAAGAAAGCGATACAATTCAAGCGAGAATTACAAATGTGCGGAACGTGCGTGGTGGGGAACTGCCGCATCACGCGATCTGCAATGCTCCAGCGTGCAACTGCAGCAGCGTAGATAGTGCACATGAGCATTGTGAGTGCACACACACAATTTTGTGCCGCGTAAAGTAATCTTGAAAACAGTTATAACGTCTCAACTCTGGGGAATTGTGGATAACACGATTCATTTCTCGTTGGGTTTGTTATCTGTTAGTAAATTTTTTTATGTTTATATTTTTTTGCGGATCAATCCTCAATCATGAACTAATCATCAGGAATGGTGTTATGTGTATACATCCAATAGTAGCAAGATTTTAAGTACATGATGTTTAAACAAACAACTAAAATCTTTAAAATGAGTATGTCACAACGATGGCAAATGTCTCCAGATGAAATGTAGCGCAAAACGGAGAACGTGTAAGCCAACTAAATCTATATGCTGTGTGCAATACAAAGAATATACACACACACAAACTCGCACCATAGAAATGTAATCATGTTTACAAACAAGCCATTCAAATTCAGCAGTGACGACTATATATCACAAAACGAGTCATTTAAAAAGTCACCGAACAAAACAAATTGGAAGAGCGTGCGGAGAAGAGCTGCCCCTCTACCGTGCGTCAGCCAGAGGTCACTCGACGGGATCTCGGCGGTGGCTCTGTGATATCCCCTTCCGCGGGCCAATGTCTAACACCAAGGGTAGCACGGCTCTGCGAGACATCCAAATGAATCCTTTGCCTCATGACGTGACGCCGAAAGCACAAAGCCGATACAATTGGATAACATATCTCATCTATATATATAAAATCGTTCATGTCTGTCTGTCTGTCTGTGTGTGTGTGTGTGGACTTTGGCCCATACGCACTTTCATTGGACGGCGGTTGCCCCTGGCAACGGCTAGCCACGCCTTCGCCGCTTTCATTGGACCTGGCAACGGCTAGACACGCCTTCGCCAAGGGCTGCAGTTTCATTGGACGGCGGTTGCCCCTGCCAACGGCTAGCCACGCCTTCGCCACTTTCATAAGCTCCGTATTTAATTAAATAATAGCCATTACACAGTATTGTTGGAGCGCTAGGGGCGGGGGGAAGGAGCGCCACCCGTACCCAGCGTTCGCCGGGTGGGAAAATCAGGCGAGGCGGGAGGCTCTGCACGGTGCTAGGCCTCGACACCCACCACGCCACTCTGAGGTAAATTCATACAAATTTCACGTCCTCTACAGAGTAGTGAGGGAGGCAGAGTGGCGAGGGAGGGACTCAGCCTCAAAACGAGTAACTGGTGTGGCGTATTAACATCGCCACTGGGGAGACAAAGGCGGCCGGGCGTGCTGGATCCAAGTCCCGGGCGAAGCCGGGTCATGTGTATGTGTGTATGTGTTTATGTGTATGTCTGTGTGTCTGTATGCATGTGTGTGTGTATGTGTTTGTGTGTATGTATGTGTGTGTGTATGTATGTGGGTTTTTTTCTATGTGTTTATGTGTATGTCTGCGTGTCTGTATGTATGTGTGTATGTACCTCTGTGGATGTGTTTGTGTGTATGTATGTGTGTGTCTATGTATTGTGTGTATGTGTTTCTGTGTATGTATCTGCGTGTATGTATGTGTGTTATGTGTCTGTCTGTGTGTCTGCATGTATGTGTGTATTTTTGATTTAAAGCTTTCATGACTGCAGGGATTCATCTTCTTGGTTCTTTCGGTAAAGTCACGTAGAGGGGAAGTAATTAAATAATAAAAAATAATACAAATAAAACATAATAAAATTATTCTCACGACGTTTCGGCCACAACGCAAGCAGCCGTCCTCAGGTGAAAACCAGGTCCGTCGAGGCGACAGAGTCTGATTAATTTTATTATGTTTTATTTTTATTATTTTTTATTATTTTATTACTTCCCCTCTATGTGTGTATTGTCTATGTTTCTGTGTGTATGTATGTGTGTGTTTGTGTGTATGTGTATGTCTGTGTGTATGTATGTGTGTGTATGTGTTTGTGTGTATGTGTGTGTATGTGTGGGGAGCGATAGTGTAGCGGTTAGCGCGCTGCGCTATGAACCTGGCGACCCGGGTTCGATTCCCGCTCACGGCCAACACCAGTGACGATTATCTGAACCGGTCCTGGGCCTCCCCTAGGTCGACTCAGCCTTAAATGAGTACCTGGTGCGGTGTGTAAACATCGCCACTGGGGAGACAAAGGCGGTCGGGCGTGGTGCTGGCCACCCACCCCTTCGTGTACCGTTCCGGCCTTCATAGGTGCTCGCTAACAGCACTTGCCCCTACAGTCTGTTAAGGCTATACGGGGGATCTTTGTCTTTGTCTTTTGTATGTATGTGTGTATGTGTTTGTATGTGTTTGTGTGTTTACGCTCGCATTACACAAATGTGTTGCAGGTCTAAGGCGTTCCTCGCGCAGCATTGCCGCTTTCTTTTTTCAGTCGTTTACTGCCGTACGCACCCTGACAGTCGTGTGTGTCTGCAGCAAGCGCGTGTATGTGTACCAATGGACGCGCGCGCGTGTGTTGTGTAGGGGGAACGGTAGTGTAGTGCTTAGCGTGCTGTCTGTGTCTGTGTGTGTGTGTCTGTGTGTGTGTGTCTGTGTGTGTGCGTGTGTGGTGTGTGGGGAGCGGTAGTGTAGTGGTTAGCGTGCTGTCTGTGTGTCTGTGTGTGTGTGTCTGTCTGTGTGTGTCTGCGTGTGTCTGTGTGTGTGTCTGTGTGTGTGTCTGTGCGTGTGTGGTGTGTGAGGAGCGGTGGGTGTAGTGGTTAACGCTACGCTGCGCTACAAACCCGGCGAACCGAGTTCCATTCCCGCTCACGGCCACCACCGGTGACGATTATTTGAAACTCCCCTAGGTCGACTCAGCCTCAAACGAGTAACTGGTGTGGCGTATTAACATCGCCACTGGGGAGACAAAGGCGGCCGTGCGTGAGTGGTGAGGGAGGGAGAGTGGTGAGGGAGGGAGAGTGGTGAGGGAGGGACAGTGGTGAGGGAGGGAGAGTGGTGAGGGAGGGACTCAGCCGCAAAACGAGTAACTGGTGTGGCGTATTAACATCGCCACTGGGGAGACAAAGGCGGCCGGCCGTGGTGGATACAAGTCCCGGGCGAAGCCGGGTAGTACAGCTAGTATTACTATAAAACATTTGTATCTATTGCCTCGAGTGTCCTGGCTGGGTGCTGGCCAGCGCTGCTCACCACCCCAACAGTAACTCTGTTGTTGTTCTTCTTGGTTCTTTCGGTAAAGTCACGTAGAAGGGAAGTAATAAAATAATAAAAATAAAACATAATAAAATAAAATAATTCTCACGACGTTTCGGCTACAACGCAAGCAGCCGTCCTCAGGTGAAGAATGAGACACTACCAAGCTAGGAAAGCTTTAAATCGAAATCTGTTGTTGTTGTTGGTGGCTGCGGGCCACAGAGCCATCATCAGGACAGCGCCACCTTGGTCCAGCCGTGTTAACGCTCAAATGACACTCATTTGGTGAAACAAATTAAATATGGTTACAATTGTTTGCCTTAGATGTTTTTCATTATTTAATGCTGGTGGTGGTAATTTAGGCCCACCTCTTCAGCCTGCTCTCTTGATTATTTTTTTACCCAGGATTGGAGGGGCCTGCTCGGCTTACCGAAAGTCTCCTGGCCTCCGCCTCTGGCTCTGTGTGTGGCTAACAGCACGTGGTCTAGCCCACGAGACCACATCAGTGCACCCTACACGCTATCCAACCAGAATTGAACATGTATTGCAGAAATTTTGACTTAAAACTTTCGTGACTGCAGGAATTCATATTCTTGGTTCTTTCGGTAAAGTCACGTAGATAGAAAATAAAATTAAAACAAAAGATAAGGCGGATGAAGAGCACTTGTGTTGCGATCGGAACGTCGTGAGTTTTTTGCTTTTATTATTTTCAATGTATTTATTTTTTATTTTTTTTATTTTATTATCTTTATTTTAATTTTATTTTTATTTTCTATCTACGTGACTTTACTGGGAGAACCAAGAATATGTATAGAATACACATGTATTTTATACATTATCGATTCAGCAGCATAAGCAGTGGAAAAATAGGCAACATATTAAAATGCAGCATATTTATAAATGTTTGATCATTGAACAAGTTTAATACCTTTTCATTTGATGTAAACTTGATTGTAAAACATATAGTTTTATATCGCTAATAATCAAATATGATTCATTTTCTATTGTCAATAATCAAACGTATAACTTTTCATCACCAAAAATCGAACAAATGGTTTATAAAGTTATTTTAACGTGCAACAAACGCAATTATTTTTTAATTCCCGAAAATTATTGAATATGCTGTTGATAATTGAGGATATATTTTAAAAATTACGTAGTATGTTGTTCCTAATTCAGAATATAATAAATATGTTATCGAAAATCAAACATATATGTATAAAGAATCAAACAGCAACAAATCTCATGCCCCCGAAGAGGTGGCAGTAACACACGGAAAAGTGACACGGTTTATTTCAATTTGCTCTCACTTTTCAACGGTGCTCCTATTAATGTAATTCTTTCAACATATTATTTTTTTTAAATCCCAGAGAAAATAAAAATACTCGTAATCTTGGCATTGTATTATTGCGTGAAAATGCTGATTAGTTTTCGTGCTCCAAGTACAACAACATTTTAAGGAGGGTATGAAAATGCCAGCTGTTTTTTCTTTTCTGGTGCAGGGAAAACGGACTCTCCACTAGTTTATATATAAACATGTATATGTTACATTTGGACTTAAATATAGTATGCGAATACGATATGTATTTATAACTTTCATCTTCAATGTATGTTATACAGATGTACATTGCAAGTAAGCAAGCGTTGCAGGGTTGCACTTGTTACCGATGCGAGCTGCAGCAGGGGTTTCTTCACAGATGGCACGTGGCAATTATCTCTCTTAACCAGGCTGTCTCCCGAGCTGCAGCGCCTCGGTGCTCGGAAGCTCTGGCACAAAGGCCATTGTCATAATCCCAAATTGTGCCACTAATTATTTCACTCAACAGGCGGACATCAGGCCAAGTTTGAAACGGTCACATCAAAAGAAGCGTAACTTGTGCTGTCGCTAAAATTACCGGTTCATTTCTACACTCGCTTGCCCTGGTGGTTACTTGTTACATCTACGTAAAAAATGCACCTCCTTACACGCACTATGATAAGCAATAATGATATTCTTGCAATAACAATCCGCGATGATCAAAGGTTGCTGGAGAGACATGCGTGACGACCAACGATTGGAACAAAAAAAAAGATAAAATCAATACGGATATTTTTACCGAATAATTTATCAAAAAACAATGTATTGAAAACCCCAAACAATATATATTATTGACAGCAATAAACTTGTGTTAACTATATAAACATTAATACCATCTAAGAAAGCATGTGCACTTATCCATGCTTACTGAACCTGTAATGAAACGCCATTTATTTATATATTTCCCCATTGTGCGATGTGTCAAACTCAGTTTGTGGGTTTTAATTAGCAGCGTGGCAAGATTATTTTTGACAATTCTCCCCCCCCCCCCTCATCACCCCCCCAAAAAGTACAGACATTAATAATTGATGGTTTATTCCCTTTTTGGGAGGGAGGCCTCAGCATGAGGCTGGAGAAGCTGACAGCTGTCAGGAAGTGGGTGGGGGGCGCCCAGGGGGCATCAACAGGCATGACGGAACACCAAGAAGCTTAGGCATCTTCTAAAAAGTTCTTTAGGACTTTTCGTCGTGAGCCCATCTGCCACTGTTTGCTCGAGGGAGCAGGTGGCAGTGGCAGATGGCACGCGCCCAGCACACACCTACCCCGTGACCACTTCACGCCATGCCACTGTACCGATGACAAAACTTCATTAGGGGGTCCAATGCTGGAAGGGGCGAGAAGTAAGTGGAGGGAAGCAGGGGTTTCTTATTCAACTATTATTATTATTTTAGGACGAGGGTGGCGGCTGCAATGCGGTGGCGCAAGGGTACGGATAGGACACGGGAAGAGGCGATGTTGACGAGAACACGGCGCACTGCTACGACGGGCGAGCCGGCTGAGCGTGCAAATCCACTGTCTGCAGGGAGAATCCACTAAACTAAACCCTGTAACTTATTCGCGCCGAATATGGACCAACATGCTGCTGTCTCCTTTATTTCCAGCTCGCAAAAAAACCCTTTTCTCTCTGAGGACGGCCCGGCCATTGTTTGCCGGGATTAAATTTCTCCCCATTGTTACGGCCGTGACGGGTGCGGCCCATTTTTGGACCCTGGACGCTGTTAAGGGGAAAGGAAAGAAAAATTACAATTTCAAAGGCAGTTTGGTGGGCAGGTTTCCCCCCCCCCGCCCCCCGCCCCCCCCCCCCTTGGATTTCTTCCTCCTGTCCTCTTCACCAGCTGACACGATCTGTCCCCTACTGCCTCCCTGCACCATCGCCCCCCCTCCCTGCCCGCCCCCCCACCCAGCGTCCCTCTCTCCACCGCCTCAAAAGACTGCCCTCGCTGGCCTCCTCTCCCCTCCCTTCACTCGTGCAACCCCTTTTTGTTGGCCGATCAATACCGGCACGCGCCGTTGCCACGGCAGCCCAATCCACGAGGCCTTTCATTGAATTGGGGGCTTGGCACCCTCTCCCGAGGAGGAGCGCAAACACCACTCCCGAGGGGGGGGGGGGGGGTCCCAGAGAATTTGGGGGGCTGACCTGTCTGTGCCCGGGCAGGAAAGAGAAAAAAAATACCCCCCACTTTGAAATATAGGAATAAGTAAATAGATATCGTTCTACACAAAGCCAGTGCAAATAACAGCGTGTGTGTGTTTGTGTGCGGTTTCTGAAATGTAGTGAACATCGTGTTTCATAAAACGTCGTAGACTGTTGCCTAAAGTGTCATTTGCTCGCACAACATGTGGGAAGATCAGTCGGGGATGGTTTTTTTCCTTTGCTACTGCGTTTTTATTGTTGAAAGTTACTTTCCCAGTATATATCATTTGCGTTCTTTTAGCTTTCCCCGATAAATGCAAGGCACAACCCAAAAACAAGTTTGCATCGGTTAAAATTTTTGCCCCCAGTTTCACAACAGCAGCCATTTAGGCCAATTGGGGGGGGGGGACAGATTAAATCAATCACGGCAAAACGGGAAATGTCCTTCTGTCTGTCAAACTACAAATCACAGCTCAGGGCTTGAATGCATAATTCCACGATGACACTGCTAAGCCTATTACTCGAGCATAAAGCGATCCCACAATGCAGTGCACACGGTGACGCCGACAGTTTGAGCGCCGTAACTCTTCCCTGATGAACGCGGCAACTCTCGGAGCCCCGTGGCGGGCGTGCGTCGCTCTCTTGCCGCGTGCACAGCGCCTCGCTACGCAGCCGTCGGGAGCAATAACGGGGAGTGGTTCGCGTTTGTAAAAGTGTAAGGAGAAATTCATGCTCTTCCGTTTACGATTCACGCTCAGATGTTCTACCGTGAGATTTGCCTTCTCGCACTGTACCAATTTATGTCTTGCGAAGGAGTATTGGTCTCCCTCAATAGGCATTTACCTGGTCCTAAATAAATGCCATTGATTGATTTTTATTTCCCCAGGTTATAAATATCACTTTCACTCGACACATGTCATCCTAAGTTCAAGATGGTGCGCCTCGTGCGTCAGAATTTCTCCCAAAATCACTTTTTCCAGTAATGATGCTTCAATCTTCTGCCATTCAGCCAAAATAAAAAAAACATTAAATACATGTCCACGAAGAATTGGGAACTTCTTTTGTTTGGATTGTCACCATCGGTGGTGATCACAAACACGACCACCATACTGTACTTTAGAAAACTAAACCCAAGGAACTCTAGAATGGTAGTTAGCAGTAATCAACAAAATTATCATCTCTATAGAACCAATTTTTGCCAATAATCAAAATGATAAAAAAAATGGGCTTTACCTATTTTTTTTCCAAAGGCATATGTGGTTAATGTCGACTTTATGCCTTGCAATAGGTATCTATTTTGTGTTTGAACATCTTAACACCTCCTGTGTTAAGACCGAAAATGGTAAATCCTATTTTCAAGATACCGTTTTAAAAAAATGTGTGAAAAATTCCAATTTAGTAATTCGCGGGTCATTTTCGAATTTGACAATTTTTTGACCACGACTCCGGCACGCAACGGCCTCTACTCGTTTGACGTGAGCGATCTTTAACGTCCACCACGAAGCTGACGGCGCCAATGACACAGTCAATGCACCGGCAGTATTCACCGGGGCGGCCTGTCAGAATGGAGCCGAGAATCTTCACAACAAACAGACTGCCACTGGGCCACGTCAGCACCCACACAGTTACCCGAAGCACGCACGACAGACGAGAGCTCGTACAAGCACACCTAGAGGATTCCGTTGAAGGGACAGGATCTCACCGGCTGTCTGCCCCAGCTCCAAGGAGTGCCTGTTTCGACGAAAGGGGCTCGCTTGCCTCGTCCGGTCGCTGCTGCCTCTCCGAGGAACGACGTCGGGCGGCACTGCATAGCACATGAGAGTGGAGAGCACAAGGTGATCACTTCCCGATGTTAACTCTCTCACCTGGTATACAGGAGGTCACGGGTTCGCTCTCGACTCTGACGCCTTTATATTTGGAGTTTGCATGTTCTCCCCATGGTTGCGTGGATTTTTCTCCAGGACCTCGGGGTTTTCCCTCCACATTTAGAATCAACATGCGTTCAGATTATTTGGCTGCTGTAAATTTCCCCACGATGAGCCACTTTGTTGAGCTGTCATTTGTGATAGCCAGGTCGCTTCTGAAAAAGAGCTATATAGCTCAGTGGGCCTTACCTGGTAAAAAAAATAATTTTAATAGTTGTAGTGCAAGTCCTCTTATGGATCACCCTACTATCCACGAATCCTGTTGCCCATGGCAATCCATGAGATCCAAACGCCTCCTGTGAAGAGACGCTGCACGTGGCTGGGCCTGCGATGCTGCAGGCGAGTTTCTGCCCTGCGGTGCCGGGATCTGCGTGCTTCCTAAACGGCAACATCCGTTGCTGCTCCATCACACCTAGCGCAGACATTTGGTCCTTTGGAGGCCCTATGCAGAAGTTGTACTTGGGGGGCGGAGGCGGGGGGGGGTCTTCCTTTCCAATTATAAACGCCTCGTGAGATGACAGGAGAGATAAAGACACGAGATATAGATGCAGCGAGGTGAGAGAGGAGCGATAAAGATGAGATGGAGATCGTGACATGAGAGATGTAGACAAAAGACGATGGAAATAAATGATTGGCGGACAGATGGTTCAGTCATATTTTTTTCATGAATCCGAGGTCCTTGAGCTTCTTGGGGACCTTTGCTGTTTGCTTGCTTTGCTCTTGCCTCGTACCATCCACCAATCACACATGTTACACGCATGACGTGACGGATGACACGCAAACATCATCAGAGTAATTTACACTCCTGTCAACTGCTGACGGATGAAGGTCTCGCTGCTCTCTATCGATCATGTGGGGTCATCTGGCCATACTTCACCAAGCTGGTCAGTGCGAGCAGGTCCACAACCACTTAAAATAGCGCTTGCCACTGATGTTGGCCGTGGCACGGAGTCAAACTGAAGATGCAAGGTTCATGATGCAGCACCCTGACCGCTTACACCCCACAAACACTGGCAGTTTTAAATTCTGTGAAGGAAATGAATGCAGACAAAGCTGGCATCAACCTGGGCACTGTAACCCCGGGGTGACACTTGTCTTGTGACAACTGCCCATGAGCACAAGGAGAACATTAAAAACTCACGCTGATCCACACACATACCACACCAGGCAAATAGCTAATATGAAAAGCCTATATAAATAAAGGTATTAGAACAGGGATGAGCTATGCCTCTTACGTGTTACTCGGATATAGGGATCTTCATTGCCTATTCTCCGCGACGTCTCTGTCTTGCCTGTTGTAAATTAGTAATTTAACAGCGTGAGGTTATTTTTACGCAAGCAGAGTAATTACATTTATAAAGCAGGGATGTATCTCAATTTGGGAACTGCTACCTTCACATGAAATCCGACTCTCATGCACGCTCTGACATTTTACAAGTGCACATTCTTGTAAACGCAAGTCATACTATAATGGGGGGGGGGGGGGGGGTAATGGAGCACTGTTCGCTATGAACCCGGTTTCTGAGTTCAATCCCTGGCCGTGGCAAGCGTAAGTGATGAGTGATATCCGAACTGTGATTCATAATTCGTTTCTGTTGTTTTAGAACGTGTAATTATAATGCCAATTGTTTTACTATAACCCTGACAGAGGGTTATAGTAAAAAAAAATTGTATTATACATATACGACCCAACCTAATAGTAATATTTATGGTTCAGTATATTAATGGTGAAATCCGACGTAACAATTAGATATCTAAACGGGGCATGCACCCGCTGCCCCCGTCATTCACCAACCCAGTGGCTGGTGCGGTGAAGTATGGTTAAACAACCTCCAAGATCGACCGGCATAGGGCTGCAAAATACTCTACTATTTACTTATCTCAACCAACTCGTGAAGTTCCTCAGGAACTGTTGGTTTTTTTGTAACGTTTAAGGCCGAGAGCTTGCTACACACACAGTGCACGTTTTGTGTGTGCCGCTGAACTTTTCCACACAATGCAAAACAAAGTAATATCTTATGATACCCACAAATGGTTTTCATATTATGGGATTTGTAAAATTGACAAAATACAAGTACTTGAAACAAAAAAAACGTAAACGCCAAACTGCAAACATGGCGAGTTACGGCTGTGTGCCTATCCATAGATTGGGCACGGTTGTAGGGTTGGAGATATATACTGTACGTTTATTTTATCACTGAATATTTCCATAGCAGCAACAACAACAATTTATATTCACAACGGCCACAAAACACAAGTCACGTCTCGGAGCGCAGAAAAAATTAAATACACTCAGACGTGACATCTCACAACTGTTAGAAATTGGCGAAATATTCTGCACTGTAAAGAATATTTTATTTAAGCAAATTAACCATTTAATGAAGCGAAGCGGAGTATTTGGCTGAGCAAGCAGTCTCCATGTGTCTTCATCGAACATACAGCTCACAAACTAGTGCACGTGTTTTGTATCGCCATGCATGTGTTATGTATTTAGCAGCTGTCTAGTACACGTTCAAATACTCGATATTGATTTTAAAAAATATATATACACTTTTGCGAGTTAAATGCTAAAGTTAAAAATGTCCTCCCGTATTGGCCTAATCTGAACAAATCATTTAATTATTTCATAAAAACTGCATCTGTCCAATTGTTTTACAGCTCGGGGCTGTATCGAAAGATATGCTTGCAACTTCATAACTTATCCATACCCATGCCAAATATTCCAAGACAATTCTTGGTGTCCTTGCATTTTCAGGCAGAACCTCTGTTCTCTGTTCTGCCTATAATTAAACATTCTTATTTTGGAGGTGATAAATACACGTGGAGTCGTTTGGAAAACCATCATGCCAACAAGCTGCTTTCAAGCCAGAATCCATTTTTTCCCTTTATGCCGAAATGGATTTCACCTGGCAGATTAATACGAGTGAATATTTTACGTAGCCATTTTAACGGGCGATGGACATTTTGGGTTTGGTTTGCATCTTCACAAAATGCAATGCTAACTTTTTGAAAATTTGCAGCCAACATGCGTGGGTATATTTATTAGCACATGGCATTAATCCCAGAACTGGTTTGTTTCAGTAAACCCACAGCATTGTTTTTTTCCTTGTGGTTACAAAAACCATTTGAAATCACATTTAAATTGTACCTCTCAAAACGAATGATTCACGGGGCGCACATCGGCCAACCAGAGCGAGGGAGTGCGAGCAGCCAACAGACGGCACTATTGGTACTCGCAGCCACACCTCACAGCGTTTTTGAGAATCGAGCAATTGCATCAACACAGCTCCCCCACGCCTTAGAATCACTTCAAAGGGTCTTTAAGTGCACGCTTCGGTAAAGCACTGCACTCTCAAGACGACCACGCGTTAACGAAGAGTGCGACTGGCCCAAGATGTTCTCATTTATAGCGTGATGAACGTGACTTCATCAGGAGGAACAATCACGCGTGATACTTTGCCCTTCTCGAACCACGACATAAGGAGAGTGGTGCAGGAGACAATGTTAGTCACTTCAAAAGGAAGTCAAAAATTGTTAACTCATCCACTTTTTTTCCCCCCGCTGCCACTCTTTTTCATTCGGCAAAGTTCAAGGCAAGATACACCCAAAAGAATAAAAATCCACCTCTTGCACGGCCCAGGGTCAGTGGACCATGTCCCACCGTCGGCTGAAAGAAACCGTTTGGAAGGATAATAACGGCAGCCCTGCAGGGGTCGCGTCCAACAATGGAATTGAATTTCTCAGCGAGAGACGCCCCAAAAGGAAGAGGCAGTACATTTCCACCAGGCCTCAAAAAAAAATAGGGGAGCGCAGGAAAAAAAAAGAGACAAAAAAAATCAATCCGTACCACGCCGCATTCATTTCCAGTCTCAAGGCAGTGTGAAATGGGCACACTGGGTGGGCGGGCGGGAGAGTGTGCGGCGGTGAGAGCGGTGTGCGTGGCACACACACGCACGCGCGCGGGCGGAATGGACGTGTACACCTGCACGCGTACGGGGGGAGGCCAGCACATTCTCCCAAGTACAAATGGGATAAAAGTACGGCACGGGCGTGCTTAAGCAAAAAGGCAAATTATGAATCAACCAGGCGAGCGTAAAAAGAAAATCGCCATAGTGAATGGGTGCATCTGGATTATTCTGGCTAGCAGAATATGCTTTATTATTGAAATAACAATAACTGAAAACTCCTAATCTCTTCTTTTATTCATAACGACGTTTCATAGGCTTAGTAGATTATTATTTTTTCTTAAAATTCGTAAGCCTGTGGAAGTTACCAGTTATAAATGCACAATAGTGGTGTGGGTATTGATATAAACACCTGCTGTGCCCAATTAACTGCTGTATACAATGCAATTGACGAGATTTCTAAATGGATTGACGAGATTTCAGAATGTGTACAAGCTTTCTTATTGTATCAGAAGCAGTAGCAACTGCGGCATGATTAGAGCCAAGACTTTGAGGTGAAATGCAGAATGGACAGACGACAGTAAGTTTAACACGTAGGCTTTCGCGACCAATGTTATTCATAATCAACGATTTTTGGGTTTAGATCGCGTTTATTTATAAATGTGTCGTAACCCTCCACCACCCGACACGGCCAATCAGTAAAAATGTGTCACGTTGACAAAGACAAATAGTTCACTGCTTTAGCCCACCGGTGTGTTGAAGCAGTACTCAAATTGTAAATGTTGTTGCTTCAACACACCGGTGGGCTAAAGCAGTGAACTATTTGTCTTTGTCAACGTGACACATTTTTACTGATTGGCCGTGTCGGGTGGTGGAGGGTTACGACACATTTATAAATAAACGCGATCTAAACCCAAAAATCGTTGATTATGAAGACGACAGTAACACGGTAAAAAAAAAATGTTGGTCGCAGG